CACACGAGGGCTGGCAAAGATCCGAAAAATGTCCACTTTACCTAAAGTCCGCTCGTAAGCCGGAGGACTTTACTGGCCAGACAAAAGAGCGTGAAATTTCTATATTACATTTAATAATCTCATTTTTCAACGGACATTTCTTCTTGCTCTACGGAGTTTTAGTGAAATTTTCTATACTAATGCTTCACTTTTCCACTGATAGAGGGACTTTTCTATTTCCTATGCATTGTCATTTCAATTTATAACGGGACTTTCTATTTCTTAGCGGACTTTTCCTTTTATTTAGCAGACTTCTGTGGTACATTACTAAATAGATCTGCGGCACTTTTCTATCATCAACGAACTTTTGTCTTTTCTATTTGATGACTGTTATTTCTTAGTCAACGGAATTTTCTATTTCTTAGCGGACTATTCCTTTTATTTAGCGGACTTTTGTAGCCCATTACTATATACATATGCGTCACTTTTCTCTAATTCAAGGAACTTTTGTCTTTGCTATTGATGACTATTATGTTTTAGTCCCGCTAAGAAATAGAAAATCCCGTTGACTAAAACATAATAGTCATCTATAGCAAAAACAAACGTCCCTTGAATTAGAGAAAAGTGACGCATATATATATAGTAAAGTACCTCAAAAGTCCGCTAAATAAAAGGGAAAGTCCGCTAGACAGCCTTAACAAAAAACGATTATAATCCACTGAAAAGAGAAAAGTCCTTCTGTTCAGAGAAAAGTGACGCATGAAAATAGTAAAGTCTGCTAAGTAAAATGAAAGTCCCACTGAGAAATAGAAAAGTCCTCGTACAAAAAATAATGATCATCTATTAAAAAGAGAAAAGTCATTCTGTTAAGAGAAAAATGACGCATCATGGTAGTAAAGTCCATCTAAAGTCCGCTGAATAAAAAGAAAGTTCCGCTGAGAAATAAGTATATATGATAAAATTTCTCTTTAATTTTAATGCATAAAAATTACTCAGATATCATCTTTTTTAATGATTTCTATAAAAAGAAACATACTTTAGAAAGCAGAAAAGTTCGCTGGAAGAAGAAAAGAGATGTCCTATCGCCATAATTTATTAAAGTTTACCAGATTTGCCGACTTTAATAAAATTCATTTCGATTTTTGTTGTATTTATATCAAGAAACTAGCTGGTACCGAAATAAAAATGCTTTACAAAGCAGAAAATTGTGTGTATTAAAACACATCTTACTTTATCGCAGTAAAACAAAATCATATGAAAGATAAATTCTGCAGAGAATAGGAATATCCACTGGAACAAAAAACATACTGTTCTTCATCAGACGTATCGACGTATGATTATATATAATAGATTTATCCGTGTGATTTAAATTCATCGAAACGTATTCTATGTTTATCGGAATGAATAAGTTCATATGAGAAGGAAAATACCTTACAGAACAGAAAAATCCGCTGAACGAAACAAAAGTCCTGTTGTCATTTTTACGCATATCATTATGTCTCTTTGACTTTAATCTATTCAAATGTCTCTCATATACATATGTATAAAAATTAAATCATATGAAAAGAAAAATCCTTTGCAGAACAGAAAAATCCGCTGGAAGTATGAAATGTCCGCTGTTGAAGTGTTCTTATTTTTCTTTTTCTGTGACTACTTGTATAAATGGATATATGTATCAGATTTTATCCGATATGTAAAGTCCTACATATTCTTAGCGGACATTAGGTAAAGTGGACAATTTTTGGACTTTTGACATTGCTGCTCCTATTCACTGTCACATCCATCCACATCCTTACTCACACCCTTCAAGTTGCGCATGGGTGGCCGATTCGGGCGTTTTGAATGCATACATGTGATAACAGACATATAGAATGGACGTACAGAAAAAGAAAGTACAAAAGGGCGTACAAATGGCGTACAGAAAAAGATGCACGATAGGGCGTACAAAAGGGCGTACAAAAGGACGTACAAAAGGTCGTACAAAATGGCGTACAGAAAAGGAAGCACAATAGGACGTATAGAATCGACGTATATAAAGGGTGTGAAGGTGTTGAAACGTAGGTTTAGAAGTAAACATTTAAATGTATCGGTTTGGATACATAGTTTTGGACGTGTATAAAAGAAAATTTTATAAGTAAAGTATAATTGTATTTTGGATTTAGCCTTATTTTGGAAACCTTTCAAAACAGCTTGTTTTTCTTCATCAACGTTTCCGGAAACAATCATAAAGTGGATAACACCGTGACATATATTTTGACATTTCTGTCACGACATGTGTTAGTGTAGAGCGCTTTTTCGATATTTCTGCCATGATTTGTGACCCTATAGAGATATTTTCACGAACTAATTTTTGGTTCCCAGGCCGCTCGTAATAGTTGTGATGAAATCTTTTTAGTTATGATTAAAGTGGTTTTTCCAGTGCACGTTCTTGATTTAAGTACTTGGATTCTTAGTACTTTTTTCCATAAAATTTTACGTTTTGTAGTGGGTGGGTGAGCTTTGATGTGAGTGACTGACTGATTGAGGAGAAAGATGGGTTAAAGTGAGTGTGTTCATTTCACATCCGCACTTCCCTAACTCTAGCTAATTGCCTACTTACATCCATTCACATCTATGCACAAAAATGAGAGTCTTTACTTTTAAAGTTCGGTACTGTGTCTCTCTTTTATAGTGTGCTAATACTTACATCAATTTTTAATATAGCTGCAGCGAACATAGAACACTAGTGGGATTTAATCATCTTGGATAAAAGTGGTGCTAGTAAAAACTTCTTGCTTAACCAGTCTTTAAACAATGACGCGTTTGACCATAAACTTTTCGCACTGCGTGTAACATATAGTGCAGAGTTTCAAGAGTTTAATTTTGTTGATACGGCCTCTGCTGCATTCGCTATTCCAGGATGAGGTGTAGGTGTTGTTAAGATGACTGTCGATATAGCGTGCGGAAGATTCATTTCCTGCACATTCACACCCACACCCACCCTCTTACCCGAATATACAAGAAAGCTTGAAATCGATCCGAACATATATAGTTTTGTTAAACATGTCGAACAATGAAGCAATTTAGTTCAATGATATATTTGCTTTCAGATAGACACACAGCATAAGCTTTATCATGGCGTCCGTAAAATATGGTGTCATTATTTTAGGAAATAGTGGTGTTGGGAAAAGCTTTTTAGCAAACGTTCTACTGAGAGAAGAAGCGTTCGTACATAAGTTTTCTGCTGAATCTGTAACGCATGAAACAGAATTGAAAACTTTGATTATTGATGATTCAATCGGTGCTAATGTGACCTACGGAGTTTTTAATATTCCTGGACTAATCGAAAATAATCAACAACGGATTGATTTGAATAAAAAAGAGATTGAAAAAGCATTTCGACAGTGTCCGACTTCAATTATAATATATGTTTTTGGCCAGCAAAATGGTCGTATTCGTGATGAAGACGTTGTTGCATTCAATGCAATTAATAGTGCTTATCCACTAGACAAGCGATCATTAATTTTCGTCGTCAATGGTTTACCAACATCACGAGCAAAAGATTATGAAGGCAGCGTGACTGTCCTATTGCAAAAATTAACTAATACATTCGGAATCAGTGTATGCTTTTTGGATCAAATTGATACAACTAATGAACAAGAAAAAATGAGTTTAAGAGCCAAAATGTTACAAATAATTGTTGATAAAACACCACAGTATCATGCCAAACAACATGATATTCATTTACAACTGGACGAAATGAACAATCTAAAGGACATCATTAAGAACCTTAGGCAAGCATTTGATAAACAAAAACAACAATTTCAAGAAGAAATTCAACAGCAACAAAATCGATACAACGAATTAAAAACACAACAAAAGACTGAAACAGCATATCTTCAAAAATTGATTGAGCAACAAAGAGAAGAAACGGCTCAAACACGACAACAAATGATGGAACAAAAGCGTGAAAATCAGAGTCTATTACGTGACGTGGAACAAAAGTATAAGGCACAAATGGCAGAACAGAAACATGCTGCAGAGGTACGAATCAACAACCAAATGCGTCAAGAGAATCAAAAAGATCATAAACAAGCTGCTGATGAATTAGTCAGTATCAAAACACAATTGAGACAAGCTATTTCTATTGGTGCTCCAGCCTACAACGCTGGTGGTCACAATAAATGTTATGAAACTTATGCAGCTACAGCTCGAGCAATATTATCATCAAGTAAACGAAATCCAATAGCGAATAACTTACTCCAAGTTGCATTGACTAATGCTAACAGACAGAACACTGATAGCGACAAAGCATGGACAATGCGCCATGCATTTGATGCCATACTTGCTCTATAATGGAAAAGTAGAACTGTGAATTAACTGAATCTGTTTAAATCCTAATATCACTTTAATAACGAGTTTTGCATTTTTGTAACTAAGAACTATATATACAAATGTTACAACAAAAACCGATAACAATTTTTGGGACGTACACGCTTTGAAAGCCTAAGTGTAAATAAGTAGGAATGTGTATGGTGGTGACTGTGGTGTTAATGTTAGCTCTTCTCTACACCCACACCCGCACCCACACCCACACCCACACCCACACCCGCACCCACACCCACACCCACACCCACACCCACGCCCACTCCCACATC